CAAATTAACAAATATGTAAATATGCAAAGAAGCAATAATTATTTGCACAAAAGTGGATTAAAAGAAAAAAAAATGCCCATATAATGTAAGATATCTACATTCAAACATACATCGCAAAAGAAAATAAAGTTTCAGAAAAAAAATATTAAACAAAGTAAATTTTATATGTAAAACATATCAAATATAAAAAGTGAATCAGTGCAACAACAACCAAAAAAAAACTTTAAAAAAAAATTGACATTGATGAACAATTAAAAGAAAAGGTTCAAAGAAAATCAGTACCTGGGAAGAGTTAAGAAAATGAAAACTCTTTCAAAGGAAGGACATACAACAAACTTTGCACAGTTTGAAGGAAAATAAAATTTTATTCGAGAAGTCTTACAAGACCACTAGGTTAATTGTTACTCTCTCACATAGAATTGCAACAACAAAGTTATTTATCTATAAGTTGATTTCTCTAATAAAGACTTGTTTTCAAGCAACCCTAGCTTCCATAGAGTCAACTACCTGGCATCATATTTACATACCGTCCAAGTTTTAGCCATATCTTTGTGTTGTTAAAACTCTTCACCTTTATGTATTAGGAACTCTGGCATTAATTAGCCCACAGTCATCTGAGACACCCAATTATAAACAAAAATTTATACTGTATTTATAAATATAGGTCTAGGTGAAAGGGAAGGGGAAAAACGCTATATTATTTCCCATGAAAATCCACAATGAATGGACCAAGTTAGCATCAGACTACGACTATAGATGGATAACCTAGAAATATTGAAGAGTCTTGGGACTGATTTGTATCTTCAAGTTAAAAAGAGATAAGAAATAGGAAAGAGAGAACCAATCAGCACACAAATAAAATATAGGAAACCACCCATATAAACTGATAGATTTGTTTTTAGTGGCAGTGCGTTAAAATAGCAAGAGATCCTATTTGAAAAAAAAAAAAAAAAAACTCGCAAAAAAAAATATTTTTTTTTTTTACAAATCTATGAATATTTTAAAATATAGAATTATGAGCAAGAATTTGACCAATCTCACCAGGAGGGTAAAAGAGCTGCCGTTACCTGTACATCCCTCAGAAATAAAGATGGAAATAAAGATTTTTACGCTCCAAGAATGTGAAGCTTTCAAATAGAAATAGTTGAACTTGGATAATTCAAAGCCCAAGGAACCAAAAAAAAATTTTAAATTATCCAAAAATCAAATTAAAAACAGATATTCTATTTATAGGAAATTCTAGTGACCAAGATAAATATTCGAATTAAAGCGGTTTTTGAATTAAAGACATTTGAATTATCCAAGTTCTACTCTAATTGCTTATTTAAAAAAAAAAAAAAGAATAATCACCCGTTATTTCTTCAGTAAAATGAATAGATTGTGTAAATTCCCCCCCGAAGACATGACAAGGCTTGCCATTAAACAACACAAGGCAATCTATACAATAAGCAATTAAATTATATTAAGCACAATTTTTTTTCTTTTCCTTATGTGTTGAAGTTATTGGGAACAAGGTTAGAATTCATTTATCCACTCTTTCTCATCACTAAACAATATCTAGGAGTACTGTAAACACATGGTAATATCACCAAATCTAAATAAATCTCTTTCTTGAGGTAACCCGGATCCCTGAAGCGTACTAAAGTCACCAACTATCCGGATTCTAAATCAATAAATAGTGTGTTACATTTTGATAACAGCATTGTTGACATCATAAGACAAAAGTACTGAATCAAATACTTCTGACACTTTTGCGCTAGGAGTAGTACAGTCAGTACATTTGTCTGATGATGATACCAACGCTGTTACCGAAAGGTAACACACTATATATTTATAAAATAAAAGGATTTAAAAGCGCGAATGTTTCTTTTATACATAAAACGAACTTCTACTGTCCTTACTGCGATGAAAAATATATTGGGAGGGTTTGGCTCATCAGTGGTGAACCCTCCCAGCGGTTTCGCCAATTTAATCCACCAGACCGCTTCTCAGCAGTAAGGACAGTAGAAGTTTGTTTTATGTATAAAAGAAACATTCGCGCTTTTAAATCCTTTTATTTTATATGTATAGATGGCGCGTTATTGCTTTGTGTTAATTTACACTATATATTTGGAGATTTGGTCTTATTACCTTATGTTTCTAATCAATATCATACGCAATAAATAAATAAATAACAGATGGTATGCTAATGCATCATAATAATCCAAATTGTACCTTATTACTAGAGAGGAATATATAAAACAGGTCCAACCAAGTGCTTCAAGCTTTCTCTCTGTCTACAACTCCAACCGGATCTATAGATTGCAGAAGGAGAATATAAAAAGATAAGTTGCTAGACAAAGTGTGCCAACAAAATGGAAACAAGTCAATGACAAAGGTATAATGTAACCTCCATTACTGATATCCACACCTTACTTTGATTGAAGTTTTTAGAATTATATAAACAAAGTTTATACATGTACGCAAAGAAAATAAAAATGTTTATCTATCTCACTATATAGAGGAGAGAGAAAGCTGGAAAAAAAAAATTAACCTTTTTACACAAATGAAGATGAAATAATCACTAAAAAATAAAGATGAAAACTCCCCCCAAATTTAGGTTTAATCTTGCATAGGTTAGAAGTATGGTCATTTTATAGGCCTAGAAACGTTTCAATGTTCCTGTTTATCAAGCTATGAGCAGCTGACAGACTTTCTTCAAATAGGGATGTCAAAAAGTATGAGTGCCACTGATGATAACAAAAATCTCCTCTGTTGTGGGAATCTTGGATCAAATCTACAAACCATGTCGTAACAAACAAAACATTCTAGATTCATTGTAGCCTATATATATATATAGCCTATTCTGAAACTGATATCTAGAAAACACACTGGCAAAAAAAGATAGATATATACAGTAGAACCTCCATGAGAGAACAATTTCGCTAGAGGACACTTCTCTACAAAGGACAGTTTTTCATCACCAAAAATACCATTTTTACTATTTAGAAACTTGACGGTAAGAGGACACCTCTCTCTCTAAGGGACACTTTCTTTCTGCAACTTGTCCTTTACAGGGAGGTTCTACTTCATATACAAATTACAGTAAAAGATAACTTCAATGGACTCGCTATACCCCCTCGGTGCATCTCTATAGGGGATTATTTCAAGTTTGGTTATAAGGTTTCTCTCTATATATATCCCTGGTTCATTTTTCAGCAAGATTTTTTCACTGCATAGCCAATTACTAGAGCCCTAAATTGTTTCTATATATATTTACAATTGAAAAAAACAACCAATATCTTTCTAAACACAACACTTTGCACAAAATATTGTAATAGATACATTAACAATAAAATCATAAAAGTAAACAAAACAAACAAAAGATAAAAAACCAAGTGCAATAAAGATTAGAGAGATCAAAATGTGAGTAGTCCATTGGATAAACCAGGTGACATATCTCCATACTTTAACAGGACAATATGCAACAATACGTGCAAATTTAATTGAAAGAGAATCATTATCTCCCCTCAATTAGAAAATAATAAAATTGTACATGGTAAAAAAAACATATCAATAAGAGAGATTTTAAAATGACTATATAAATGGTGTGAGTGTATGTGACCCCAAAAAAACAAAACAAAAAAAAATATATTAACTAAAACTAGTAAAAAAAACAAATCAAACATAATATATACAAACAAAAAGTAATAATCCAAAACTATTAAAAAGAATAAAGAGTATTTTTTACTTCAAAGAAAAAAATATATACATACATATATTAAGTAAAATTAATCAGACCTTCAAGGAAAAGACACTTTTCAAAACATTTTTATTCTCTAGCTTTCAGGAATGTACAGCCTTCTACAGGATAAAACCTGGTAAGTCCTGTAGAAGGGTGTCTGTGCCTGAAAGGTAGAGAATAAAAATGTTTTTGAAAAGAAACTTTTCCCTGGAGGTTTGATTAATTTTACTGAATATTGATACAAGGGAATATTGAAACAATATGTAAAATAGGAGGTTGGTAGTTATGTACCAAAAGAGACATTTCTCCTGTTGAAGATAGATTAAAACAATGTATTTTGTCCATCACTCCAGTAAGTTCAGAGTGTAATGTTGGTGATAGAGAATGTGCCATAACACCAGGTTGGACAAATTCAGACAAAAGCCATCAACCTGTTTACCACTTTTGTTACGACACCCATTCTTTCTTACTGGGTTAATAAACAAAAGATGTGCATTCATTGCAGTCTTTAGACTGATCGCCAATCCAACACAGTTTAAACAAAAACAAACAAAGAATATATAAACAAGGCGGCAAGGTATGGGCACACGTGCAAATAGAGATTCAAGGATGTATTCAAGGAAACTACTACATATAACCATAAAATTTGCATATAACAGGTCCCTATAAGAGTGTCCTATATGCAGTCATACAGATTCAATTAATTAAGCAAAGAAAAATTTATTTGTTATGTATATGCAGCTAGGTAGTAGAATTGTTCATTAAAACTTCTACTCAAACCTTGTAATTCACCAAATGTTTATGTAAAATAGTATTTTAATTTAATGTTGTTGTTTGATGCAAGTATCCTTTGTGGGGATATTGCGTCTGATTTGATGATGATAAATGAATACCCCACATTGGTTGTCGATTTAGAGTTAAACTGAGGTAGAGATAATATAGTTACTACTACTACAATAGAACAAACTCCCTCTCTACATTTCATTGCAGAGCCAAAGTGTCCTTTAGCAAAAGGTGTCATCTTACCAGAGACTTGCTAAATAGTAAAAATTGTGGCAATGAAAACTCTCCTTTGTAGAGAGGTGTTCTCTAACAAGAGTTTTCTCTCATGGAGGTAAAAAATAGAATAAATCCATACACAAAAAGGAAAGAGTGAATCACAATGCAATAAGACCTTATCCCAAAAAATAGTGTGTAATGTTTTTATAACGGTGTTGTTAACATCACCAGACAAAAGTACTGAATGAGGAACACAAGGTAATAAGACACCAAATCCAAATAAATAACTAGTGTATGACGTTTCAGTAACAACGCTGTTAAAGAAACGTCACACACTATTGATTTATTTTGATTTTATCCTATTACCTTGTGTTTCAATAGATAATCCAAATTGTACCTAATTAGGAAAAAGTAAATCTAAGAAAGATTGAGGAAAGTTTTCTACAAAGAACAGTTTTCATCACCAAAATTACCATTTTTATACTATTTAGCAACAACTTTCCAGTAAGAGGACACACCTCTCTCTAAAGGACACTTTGTTTCTGCAACTATAGTTGTCTTTTACAGGGAGGTAGTTCTATTGTAGTTGTCTTTTTTGATTTTACATTTATGCCATCCATTCCATGAAAGTTAGGCTTAGAAAAACAACCATCTTGGTGGCTCCAACATCTGCTTGAAGAACCAAGACTGAGAAGTATTTATCTAATCTTTGAGAAACACCATTCCTACAAATTTGATATGTGCACATAAATCTTTTGAGAATTTGAGAAAAAAAAAATGGTAACATCAATATATTCTTTTTTACATGGGGAAATATCAATTTTTACCAAGAAAATATATTTGTAATCTGTACAAAAACAACACTCATATATAATAATAATAATCTTTTACACATATATCCCATATATATTTAATAATATTTGAAGTTTATAAATTTGTATTGATCTTTCTTATAGATAGCTTTATTTTTTCAATTAAAATGCTCCTAAAGGGCAAATTGTAATAACGTTCTCTAATTTGCATATTCATCTGAAAAACGCTTGTGACCATAGATTTTGAAACTAAAAAAAAAATGCGCCATATAAATAACTTTCGCTACAATAAACTATCCTCTTGAAGATACATGACATTAATTTTACAAAATAAAAAGACACAAACAAAGTACTATAAATGGTAAAAAAAAGGCCATATATCTATAATGCCAGGCTACAGAGAATTTGTACTTTGCATATAACCCCCCATATTTGTATAGTTACTTAGAGGACAGGAAGTATGTCATAGAAATGTTGGACTAGAGAGGTGGGCAGAAAGTGCGGCCATGTATGTACAGGGTGTAAGGATGGACTAGGTAGACTTGTGGTGATGGTGTGGGGAATGTTTGCTACCCTCCATGGTGTCGTAGAAGGTGGACTTAGACAGCACCAGGTTGTTGGTAGACATGGGCACTTTCTCCGCCTTGGACGCTGCTGTATAGAAGGATGATTTCCCGGATCGGATAACCGGCCCGTCGTAGGTGTACTGGTGAATTACTGGCGGTTTGGACCTATGGTCCGCCTGGACTGAACCTTCACACAACTTGAGGTGGCGGTTGGCATCCGCAAACCTGCGAGCGGCTGCATCGAGGTAGTTGGCGATGATCTCCTCCTGGTAGTGGGGCTGCTCGTCAGCATGCAGGAGGGCGATGAGCAGGCAGGACACTTCCAGCTGGGTGAAGGAACCTTCTAGAGACTTGGATTTACTCTTGGCAGAGAGGGACTCCCCACTGCCCAGCATGCCATCCTTGAAGGAGTTGGACCTCCGAGTCATGTGCTTGAGGCGCTTGCCCAGACTGCCCACTTGCTTCACCACATTGTGGAGTTTGCTGGACTTGGCAGGTCCCCCGTCTGTGGCGGCCGGCATGGTCTCGTAGCTGCGGCTCATATGGACTGGAGTGGGGTAGCCGGAGGACTCGGAGGAGAAGTCCAACACATCCAGGTACTCCTTCAGCAGGTCCATGTGGTCGTAGGGTCCCAGGGACAGCTGGTCATCCCAGCAGGTGTCCACTCCGGGGTCCAGGGAGAAGTGGACGGGCAGGAGATGGCGGCTGGAGTCCACCAGAGGGATGGCAGCTGCACAACACCACTTCTTACATCTGACACAGCTCATGTGCCCAAGGAATAAATTGATTTATGGTCTTTTCAGTGAGAGCCAAGTTATATAAATACATTATTGTACAAACAGGATCTTTAAACATGAAATCCAAGTGTCATATTTGAATTTACAAATTACTAGCTCAAAATATATAGATACAAAAAAAATAAGACCTAATCCAAATAATTTAATAGTGTGTGATGTTTCAGTAACAGCATTGTTACCATCATTTGATCTTCTTCTTTCTTATCTCCACTCAATCATATTAGGCTATCAAGCTTTTTGATGGTGTCTGCCGGGGAAGAGTAGAGCTCATCAATGGATGAGTCAATACAGTCTCTCTCTCGAGCGGTAACTTGAGCTGCGAGGATGCACGGGCGCGCGCTCCTGCCCCAAACTTTGCTGGCATTTTAACCGCCTCCGAAGAGAAGAATAATATTAGAATTTTTTATGGAATTCCCCACCGACTCTACAATGGCCTTGGCTGAAAGCTAATTGCCATCTGGACTTGCTGATGTTATCAGCGCCCCTCAGGCCACTGCAGCTTGTTGGGGAAACAGAGCAACCTGGGCCTGGAACAGGCAAACCTTCTACCAACTGGGCCGAGCTCGTCGACCAGGAAAAACAACTCCCAATGGAGGAAGACATCACCGGCTGAAAAGACCTTTTTTTTTCTGCATTACACTATATATATTTTTATATGAACATTAAAGTATGTTTAACCGTCTCTCTCTCTCTCTCATCATCAGATAAAAGAATAAAATCAATTCAATAAAAACAATGGTTACTGAAACATCACACACTATTAAATTATTTGGATTAGGTCTTATTTTCTTGTATCTATAATCCAAATTGTGATTTATCATAGCTCAATATAATATATATATATATGCAAAATCAATTTAGTAAGCTTTCTATATTTTTCAAGTAATTTTATTATTAACTTTTGCACACTACTGCCCTTACTTCATTGAGAGAAAAATTGATTGGGCCCCAATATTTTGTCAATGCAGTAATGGCAGTAGAAGGTGTTTTTAAGAAACAATTATGCTAACTAGTTGAAATGAACTGACTCTCTTCCCTGTGCATAATATCTCTGGCTATTAAAGCCCTGAGTGGAGTTGTCGGGCCCAATGAAGAAATATCTCCGTGCATCCATGTGTATTTAGAGATAAAGAAATATATATATATGGTAATTTAAGCCAACAAACCCATATTGTATATAACTTATGACAAGATTTTAATGCTGTATAATAGAAACACATCTGTAAATGATTATACGCATTATTGACATGTGTCTTTACATCATCATATGTAATGCAATTTGTACAAACAGGATAAATAAATAAAAATCTGTAATAGATTAAGAGTTGAGCTAAGCAAGAGATAGAAGTCATAACGTCAAAATCGAGATAGATTTAGAATTCCCACAACAAGGTCTAAAAATGGGCCAGACCACCCACACTCTAGACATCTGGTGGAACGCAAAGCCCCCTCTCACATCTGGTGACATGCAAAGCCCCCTTTCTCAGAAACGGCCCCTGTCGCATAAGGCCCCCTGTCTTAACCTATAAATACAGTCACTTTACAGTCACTTGACAGTTAGTTCACCCTCAGTGCAAGCCCGCGTCGGTTGTACCTCATGTCGATCTCATCCATCATGTAGACTAGTAAGAAACTTCTATCTCCCCATCTTTCGCTCCTAGCTCAACTTTTATCTGTTCACGGAACTTTCTTAGTGCAACTGTGTCTTCGCTTTTTGTGTGGACATTCCCAAGCTTTCCACTCTGCCTCGACCACGACTGCCTGTACTCTGTGAGGACTTTTAAAGGACTTACAAGGTGCAGAGAGGTACTAGAAAACTCCCCATCCTGGCTGTTCCTCTCGGTTAACACAGTATAGCGAGAGTCAACTCTTCATCATCACAAAGTTAATCGACAGGATTCTACACAAGGCTTACCAGACCTCAACTTATTACATATATACATTCACAGATAAAACTTATGGAAGTTGAAAGTCTTTGATGTAGTCAGTTTTGAAGAAGACAGAGGTGTTCACACTTGGTTATCTCATGTGTCTTCAATAAAGGTCACTGTAATTATCTTTCAGAGTTATTGTCTGAATCCTGAATATACATGCTAAAAGGTACAACTTCCTTAAGTACTGTCCATGAGTGTATATTGGTTTTCTCGTGTGTCTTCAATAAAGGTCACTGTAATATCTTTCAGAGTTATTGTCTGAATCCCAATATACAAGCTAAAAGGCACATCTTGCTTAAGTTTTGTGCCTATGAGTGTATACACACTTGGTTATCTTGTGTGTCTTCAATAAAGGTCACTGTAATATCTTTCAGAGTTATTGTCTGAATTCCAATATACATGCTGAAAAGTACAACTTCCTTAAGTTTTGTCCATGAGTGCAATATTTCTTAGTGTGGAGGTTTCAACAACAATACAGTGTAGGTAGGTTACCAGGCAGGCGGGAGGGCTGGCGCATGGGCACCAGGGCGGAGAAGTGGGCGGCATCGTAGGCCAGACAGAGGGGGGAGCGGTGGCAGGTATGGGGGGGACACTCCAGGGGCAGGTAGACCCCACCCAGGGAGATGGGGGCGAAGGGCTGGCCGTTGAGGTCCATCAGCAGGGTGTGGGAGATCACCACCACAGGCCGCCGTAGCACATGGCTCAAGGCCAGGATGTGGATCTCCTCCAGTCCCTCGTAGACATCCGGGTCTTCAGGCAGTGTAGACAGGGAGCTGCCCACACACCATCCTTACATACAACCCAGCATCCAGGTAAACAAAATATAGTGGGAAAACCTTTGAAATATCCTAAATTATAGATGTTAAATAGCTTTTAAAGTTTCTTATAAGGTACAATTTGGATTATAGAACACAAGGTAATAAGACCCAAATCCAAATAAATACATAGTATGTGATGTTTCTGTAACAGCGTTGTTACCATCATCAGGAAAAAAAAAAGTACTTTTGTCTGGTGATGGGGTAACAATGCTCTTACAGAAATGTCATACACTATTTATTTATTTGAAGAGTTGGTCTTATTACCTTGTCTTTTAAAGTTAATTATTTTGTAGCTATGTACTATGTAGCTTGGGGAAAAATTCACACTCAAAAGAGCTTGCCACATTTTAATTAAAAAAAAAAATAGATTTCAATTTTATTACTGATTTACAAGTTGATTTCGAAGTCTGCTCTCTTGAGTT